GGCCATGCCGGGCCGATCATGTGAATAACTTACATTATTAACATACTAATGTGTTGATCAAAAATGTTCGTATTAAACCTTTGGTTAAAGTAACTAACATCACTAGTTGGGAAAATGAATTTCAAATATGATTTGTACTTGTTTTTACTTATTTATTGCAAAACTACTAGGCCTATCTTTTACCGTCCCTAATTGTTGACCAGAGGAAAGACAGCCTGTGAGCAACATCCTACCATCCACCATCAACGCTAAGGGACTGACTGCCACTCTTATAACGCACCCAAAGTTCTCAATTCATCATTGTTTGTTTGTTTGTAATTAAGCACAAAGCTACAAAATGGACTATCTGTGCTCTGCCCACCACGGGTATTGAAACATGGATTCTAGCGTTGTAATTTTCACATGATATTCTAGCATCAAAAACATCTTTATTAATTTTAAAACCAAAGTAAAACTTAAGCCTTTACTGATCCAAGAACATAATAACAGAAAACTTGATCTAGGAACATTTATCTGTATCCATGTTCTTGATTTTTTATTTTGTTTAACCAGACCCTTAGTAACGGTAACGTCTTGAAATTGAGTTAGGCCTAATTGTCTTTTTTCTTACCAGAGGAAAATCTTTGTTACAAAACAACAACAACAAAAAAAAAACAAAAGTTGCATTCTCGTTTAAGGCTTAACTTAAATGATCACGTGTTTTGTTTAATTCATTTGAAAACCTTTAGCTAATGAGCTGATACAGGGCGTTGCCAAGCGGTGAGGCCACAAAGCTACTGAACACGTTTCGTATTTTCAGCTGTGAACGCGTTATAAAAGAGACAATTGACATCCAATCCAGTTATTTGGTTCAAAGAACAGAACAAAGCATTTGTGGCGACGGTGGTGCCTCCGGCTGCCTTCCTTCTGATCAATAGTTCAAAAGAAAGGGTCCCCTTTTTATGTAAAATATTTTCATAAGATTTTGCGTTTCTACAAAATCCACCAATTCAAAACGCTATACAACTCTCATAAAACGCTTAAGAGGTGTTATAAAGGCATAATTAGTCTTAATATTCAACAGAATTAACTTAAAAGGCTCAGAAAAACACAACTGAAATTGCCTAAGGTTTAAATTTCCAATTCCCTTAATGAGCTTCAGTGTGCATTCCACTTAGTGAAGGAAAGCGTTTTATTTCTTCAACTAAAGATTCTACAAATTTAGGTTCTTTAACGTAACCAACTTAGAAGTGTTGGCAGAAATCTGTGAAGGGGATACTACTTTTGTATAAAAAAATAAATTTGTAGAGAAGCTTTATTTGGGAGGGTGTCTGGGACAAATTTTGTAATTTTGCGCTGAAAATGGGCCAATTTTAATGGCATCTAAGTATTGTTTTTCAC